ATGCAACATCTGGCTGGAGGACGTAAACAACCCAGTCCATCACTGACTCCTGCTTTGCATATCAAGGTAGAAGATTCCACAAAAATTATTTACATAGGGGCCTCAGGGTGGTCATCCTTTTTCAGGGGCAAATCCTTGAGCAAACCAAAACTGAAGAACTGCTTTCTCATATTCAAATACAAATTTCCTCACCCTATTTCCCACATGTTACAAGAAATATTACTAGTACTATCAGATTTCTTGTTCACATTGGTAATCATAACAAGAATGTCATGATGACAAAAAGTATATATATACATAAGTACTATTTACTGACTGAAGGATCGTTTTGTAAGGACTATTTCTGCCATTTCAATTATTACTTCCCTCCCCATTTCTAAACACAATGGTATACCCCAACCATGAACTGTTATGTGAGAAAAACACCAAAGGTCTGAGGTCAGACACATGCATGCATGCATGGAGAACGCCTTGTCGCTAGGCAGAATCTTCCATATGCCCACAGGTGGGGACAGGGTGTCAAGTCTTAAAGACCCAGAAAAATACATAATTCACAGGAAATCAACTTCTTGCCTTTTGACCAAGAAATAGGTCTGAAAACAAACAAAAGGAGACTTAACCATTAATTTTTATGATACCCATTGATTTTACGATTCCTTCTTTTTCAACAATCAGATGCAGAAAAGTAATCCATTTGCCACAAACAAAAAGGTATGGTTTAGAATGAATTATTGGAAATACATGGCTGTATGAAAGATGCTACACAAGCTTAGAAATGTGCCATAGAAATTCTGTTTTTTTTTTACAACGTGGATCAATGATCCTACTAAAGGACTGCAACCCCTTCTACTTAGCATTGAAGCAGGTGATGAGCGAAGCCAGCTGAGTTTCCAAATCTAATCCAGAAGCAGGGACACCAGAAATTGGCCACCCATCTGGTAAATACCTGTATTTCCTGACTTAAATCCCAAGAAACTGTGAAAGATGACAGCCTGCAGTGAATACAATTATGTAACATATAATTTTCCTATTAAAAAGTGTTGTTACCTGATGGAAGAGATCATTCATTGCGCTGATGACTTTGGATCATGATGAGTTTTTTTCCAGAAGTTGCAGGATGCCTGCTTACGAATTCTGAAGCAGCTACCTTAATTAAAACAACATCCAGTGTGGCTTTCCAAACTAGCATAACCAGTCTTTCTACATGAAACGGTGCAGTGCAGTTAGTAAACAGGTGTGAGGTTAGTTTAACAACATGTGGGAGTAGCAACAGGTGTGTTCGATATCATACCTTCCGACAAAATATCAGGAAGCTGGAGTCCCATGACCTAATACCTAATTTTCACCTTTATCTAATCTAAGATCCTTATGTCAAAAATGTGACAGTACCTTCAAAACTACCACAGAATAATTATGCTTCCTCATTAATTATGCAAATTATGTTATCCTTTGCAAAGTTTGAATAATCAATATTCAACTATGCCACCCAGAAACACACCAGTTTTATTGGCAAACTAACTTTTGGTCTAACACTGCCTTTTGAAAAATGTATCAAATTTTTAAAAGTTACATCTTGTTAACAAAACCTGCTGACCTAGATGGGAACCCTTCCCTCCCTCCATATTAACATCTGCCGGTTCCCACTTGTGTTTGCTTAATGATTCAATAATAAAGGTCGGCGAGATGAAAACCTACTATAATGGTATAACCGTATATGTACACACGTATGACCTTTTGCTTTTCAACTCTAATCGACAAGGAACATCTGTGGCTCTCTTCCTGCCACATTTAAACATCAAAGATTACAGCGAGATAAAAGCATAATGGCCCCATTCCAGTCAAGCAGTTATCCTTAAACTGAGGCAAAGCATGATGCTTTTCAAGTTGCAAGTAGCAGTTGCAAATTGATGTTACTTTGCTCCAGCCTGTGTTCAGTAGTTATGCCTTCAAACAGTAAAAATATATGTAATAATGTCCTCTACTAACAATGACACATGTATTCAAGAAGGAAATATGCAACAATACCACATGCATGTACGAACAAAGTCAACATGCACCACATACAACAAACTAACTGCATGGAAGACAAATCATGCTACTCCTGAAATTAACCTGGTACTCATCCAGCTGTAAGGGACTGTACGATATTTACCGGGGGGGGAGGGCTGGTGCAAAATGGTCCGGTAAAAATTTTTTTCCATGGCCCTCCCCCCGGCTCAAAAAAAATTCCATGGCCCTCCCCCCGGCTCAAAAT